CTCGCCTCAGTGAAGCGGACCCTCGTCGCTATTTGCCGCCGCACGCTATCCAAAACACTGATCAAGCCCCACGTTCATATCCGCTACATAGGTCACGTCGCAAATTGGGATACTGTCACTACACCAAAATGTTGTGGTGGGCTTGGGATAAAAGATTTAAGAGTTTTTAACAAGGCGTTATTAGGAAAGTGGCTATACAGATCTAGAGTGGAGGTAGATGCTCTTAGGAGGGGGTGATTGCAGAGAAGTATGGGGTTTTAGAAGGGGGTGGAGGACAAAAGATGTCTCACTCCCTACGGCTATGGGCTATAGGGAATATTTTAAAGGGGTGGGAAGAGTTAGATGGGAACATTTCATTCAGGGTGGGCAACGGGAGTAGGGTAACTTTTTTGGGACATTGGTGGTGACTGGTGCGGAACTTACACATCCAAAAATCACATGGCCGAACATGCATGGTATTTCATGTCAAAAGGAGATGCCAGTTCAATAACTATTGAGCCTACAATGGAGAGAAGTGCAGTGGGACTTGAGGTTTAGGAGGAACTTGCAAGATTGGGAGGTGAAAGAATTATTTTTGCTTGATTTGCTTCATAGTAAAAAACTTTCACAAGGTAGTCACGATGTATGGAGATAAGGGAAAGGGGAAACGACATCTTCTCTGTTAAGTCCTATTACGAGAAGCTTCTGTTTAGGAAGGAGCTAGCATTTCCATATAATTCATTATGGATCACTAAGATACCAAGAAAAGTATATTTTATTTGACTAACTATGAGAGGAAAGATTTTGAGTGAAGAGGAAGATTACTTATATTAATTGGTGCTTCATGTGTAATGAATCATGGGAAGACATGAATCACCTCCTCTTACATTGTCGGTTAGCGTCTTATATTGTGGTGGGAAATTTTGAGGTGATTTGGACTTGAGTGGGTATTGTCATGCACTGTGAAAGAAACTATGCATGTATAGTTGCGCTTTCAGCAGACGGAAGAAAAGACATAGTGCATGGATGTCACTACTCTAGCACTCGTGTGGATTGAATGGAGAGAGAGAAATAGGAACGCTTTTGATGGTGATAAAATCCATGTTAGCATGCTTAACAAGGAGGATTCCAAATCAACATCATGGCGTTGGAGTGTTTTAAAAGATCAAGTTAGAAGATTGGTGGCTACATTTGTAATTAAGGATATTTGGGCTAGCTTTGTTATTTAACCCTACTTAATTTTCTCACTAGCTTCAGGGTATTTGGGTCATTGTTAGCTCAAATACCTACCTAGTATAAATAACTTCTTATTTCCATTTTTAGGGTAGATTGCTTGAGATGAATTGAGAGATTATTCACTTTGAACGTTGAAATCTCTTTATGTTAGGTTTAGTTTAATGTTAAGGTTTTACCTTGTATCTCTCTTTGAACCTCGCTTGGATGGATCCGATTGTGTGGATCCATGTATGAGTTCATGTCTCTTCTTCCTTGTATTGATTCTACTGATTAAATATTATTTTAATTGTTAGATTATCCCTTCTTTATTCTAAATCTCTCCCCCTCCCTTTCTAATTTTGGATCTATTTGCTATCTTTTCTTGATTGTTGTTTGTTTATCAATTTCTTGCTTCCGCGTATATTAGTTCGTATCAGATGAAGTAGAAAAAGATCTAGAACACTTGACGAGTAGCCTCTTTCCATTATTTATTTTTGGGGCACCACAAGGTTCCTATATGTTAAGATTGAAAGTCATTTGTAGAGAATCATGTCTTTTTATAAGGTTTTCTACTTTTTGGTATACTTCTTGTACACAAGCATAGTTTTTGCCCTTCTATTAATGAAATTTATTACTTTGTAAAAAAAGTTATACGATCAACAGTAATGCAAACTAAACATTATGTTGTAATCTTTAATAGACATTAATTTATATTTTTAACAAGTTTCAACTTAATTTCAACTTTATCAAGAAACCCTTTATTAGTTTTGACTCCTACACACGACACAACATAATAGTATCATTTAATTGCGTCCCTTAAGAGTTCAATTGCCTTTAATTTAGATAAATGCATGACTAAAGCAAGTGTCAAAAGTGTAGAATATGAGGTGAAGAGTTCAAGCAAGTGAAAATAGGAAAAATCAAAATTCCAATTACTTAACTTCCTTTTTCCTGGTTGAGTGGAAGGTAAACAGTAACTGGGTAACAGAGATAAGGAATACCAATTCATACAAAAACAATCTGAGACATTGAGACAGATCTATCGTTTGGTTAATGATTGTTAGCATGCACGCTTGAGAAGCAAAAATAATCAGAAGCAGGAACCTGAAGGTGAAGTACAGTCAAAGTGAAAAGAGATATCACTTAATGCATATACCTTGGTCAATATAGAGAAAAGATGAGACACTTTTGCACTCTCACCAGAATGAGTGTACTGCAGATTATCCTTCAAAGAAATATTTGACTCCAAACTTGTCCTTAAGGGAAAACTCACGTTCAGGTATCCAGAAAGGAAACGGAAATCAACTTCACATGTTGCATACAATTTCGAAATGAGAAGCCTTCCTAATCTTTGGCCACTAGACAAGTTCCATACATCCAACAACTTGTTTCTACGGCAAAAAGTAGCAGATAAATCGCTTTCCGCTGATAAGCTGATAGATTCATCATGCTTTTCAGTCTGGATCCCAACATCTTTAGAGGATATTGTACCTATGATTCAACAGGCAATGAAGAATGGTTGAGTTTTAAGAACAGGAAGGAACTAATTTTCAGGAACCATAACCAATGATTGATTTTGTTTCCACATCCCAATTTGAACTAACCGACTTTTGTGCTGGAGCTAACATGATCATTCGTAGAGCGTGCATTTTGGCATTCTAAGGATTTTCTTTGGTCTTGTTGGATGTTGACGCCCGAATCTGTATTTCTGCAAACATAGAGAAGACCATAATTTTACTGGCCATTCTTTGTCATAGCGGTTGAGGGAGTTTACTCCACAACACTAGGTCAAGAGTTCAAGGCTGGTAGGAAACGGAGCAAAAGAGAAGACCATAATTTTAAAATGAGATTAATCCCATTCACAGTGCAAAGAATCATAACAGTTAGAAAATATTCTCATTCCAGAAAAACATAGATGCAAAAAGCCAAATGTCAATAGATAAGGAAATTAGCAAACAAATATACAACTCAAAAGAAGGCATATCAGCAAAGACAAGAACTTCTTCAATGTTATGACGTCTTCAACTTTTACACACAGCAAGAAGCAAACTTCACTGAAACTCTTCTATTTTCCTTTTAGAGTCTAACTGAGAAGTTAAAAATTTCACCAAAAAGCATGAGAAAGAGCATGATGTTGCATCACAGAGTTCCCTGAACACGCAATATATGCATTTTTTCCCCAAAAATTTCAAAAGGACCAGTATAGTTGCAAAAGGTTTGGCACTCAAATCGTCAACTAGCAGTAGGTCGTACACATGTGAACATGGTTTGTTTAAAAAAAAAAGAATCTTTGTACCATTTGATCAAAAAATTCTTAGAGAAAGATGTTACTGATTCTGATAAATAAATTTGATATCTTTTCTTCCAAAACATTTGTAAAAGAAATTTAAAAATTTATGTATTCTGTTCTTCAAGATATATTGTACCCTTAATGTGTATATTTCTTATATTTTTTGCTTTTAACATCTTTATTATTACATTAAAATTTTGAGATAATACGTAAATTTCTGCCTTCTGAAATACATCCATGCATTATACTTCTTTGTCACGTACCCCATCAAATGTGGTAAAGAGATTGGAATATTGTCAAAACGATAAGAGGTTGTTTGCAGGACGAAAAGGGGAGAGGAAATGACAAATTTTCATTTTACAAAGCTAAAAAAGTTATTAAAAGTAACTTCTTTTGTAGTCTGAATTCACCTCCGTTTAGGTACTATGGCAGTAGTACAGATTAACTAGCTAAAGTCTAAGTAACATAGAAACAAAAAAGTTAACATAACTTGCAATGAAAATTAGACTAAAAGGATAGTTTTAAGCAATAGCATTATGAAAAATATAGGCTAAGAAGAACTTGTAAGATTTTTCATGTAATTTTCAAAGAAAAGGAATCTTGTTAACTCGAGTAATAAAAAATATGTCTACTTATTGCTTGTCAGATCAGGCTATCACCTTATTATCTTATGTGGTACACACATTAACCTCGAGGAATTATGGTCAGCTTTTTATTATGTGTCAGATACAGGTTTGCTCTAGAAGAAGAAGCACCGCATTCAAATTTTGCAACTAACTGTCAAACACAAATTCTACTAAGCACTTACACGTTCACACTCTTCGAAAGAGCAAGCTTGTGCTCCTTCTCTTTCTTCTCTTTTTCCTTTCTTAACTCAATGCACTCTTGCTCCTGAATGGGTGCAAAAGATCATTACCTACCGGGAATTTTCATCAGAAATGTATTTGAGCACAACCTAAATCATAAACCCACCACACATATGGCTTACCAGAAAATTCCGCTGTTTTGAAATTCGATCGAGCTCCTTCTGCAATTAAAAAAAACCAGAATAGCAATAAGACATTTAGCAAAATGACTACAGAACCAATCTATTCAAAGAACATTATAGAATACAAAAATGGACTGGCGAAAGAACATATTATAGTATTATGATATTATTATCTAACCTTCAAATTATCGATTTCTTCTTCTTTAGCAGTGTGGGACCCGCGAGGAGCGATAGTGACTCGGCCAGCGGCAGCGGAGAAAGTGTTGACATCGGAGGACTGATTGAAAACCTTGGAGAACTCTGGAACTCTCTGAGACAACTCTCGGGGAGGCGAATAGCTGACGTCGGCGAACACTGCCGTGTGCGGTTGCGGACCTAGCGGTTGTAGTTGCGGCGGCGGCGGCGGAAGAGGAGGTGGAGGTGGAAAATGTTGCCGAGTGGCGATGGATAAGGCAAGCTCTTCGGCTTGGACGAGCTTGTCGATCAAATCTGCGTCCCATTCATCGTCGAAACCCTCATTCGCCATTGTTTTCTGCTTCCAACTCAAAAGGTTTCTACTTTTTGACGGTGTATTATATTTTTCTTTTCTCTGTACTTCTACTTGATTTCTTAGTTTCGCGCGCTTCCCCCTCTTTTGCCAGGGTATTGTTCGACGAGAGGCAGTAAATTTGAGTGATATGCTAAAATGCTCCTTATATTTGTCGGCTGTTTCGTTTTTCACCCAAAAGCTTCGGTTCCGTTTTTTAACGACCCATTATTTCTTGGAAAAAGGGCCAAATATACCTCTCTATTTTGATATATTGTTCATATTTACCCTTCGTTATATTATCTGATTAAATCTGCCCTCACCGTTAGCAAAGTTTTCAAATTTATCCTCTAATCTAACGGAAAACCCCAAAATCCCAAATTCCTTCTATTTACTATGATTTTTTCTCACAAATTACTTATCCCTACGTGTGCTCTACCAGAAAAGAAAATATCCTCTACAAGTTAATTTTTTGTTCCACTTGATTATTTTGAGCAGGAAGACTCAACAAACTCGCCACCTCCAGGCATGAGAACACTAGTAAATATTCCTTTGAAAGGATGTTCTGAAGCTGGACATAAATTTAAACAAATTATTTTATTTAGGATTTCTTAGACAATACTAAAGAATCATATGTCACAAATTTCATGCAAAAGTGCATGCGCAAGCAAAATTTGCATCAAATGACATCCAAATCTGAAAGGGAATGCATTTACATGGATACCTACGACCTTGTTATGCATGTAGTCCATAAAAATAGTAAATATTAGTAACAACTTCATAAGCGAATGCATTTCGACCACCTGAAGAATCAAATAAATCTCTTCCAAATTATCTATGGTATTTCACTCATCCTTATTCCGTTGGAAACATACCCATAAACTGTGAATTCTGCCTTTCATTTATGGTTTGAGCATAACCAAAGATAAGGGGAATAATTATGTTGTAACTCCACACTCCTATTTCTATAATATGGATATTTTTTCTTGTATGGTGGATCACACGAAAGAGATGACTGATTTGTGAGGAAGAATTGCAGTAAATAGAAGGGATTTGGGGCTTTCCGTTAGTTTAGAGGGTAAATTTGAAAACTTTGCTAACGGCGAGGATAGATTTGACATGATAGTATAACGCAGGATAAATGTGAATAATATATCAAAATAGAAGGGAATATTTGGCTCTTTTCCCTTATTTCTATTATTTGATGGGGTAAGTTTTGCTTGGCAATGGGTAACATTCGACTTTGCTTTTACTACTAAGATTTCATTTGATTGGTTAGCTAAAGAAAAATAATTCTCGTATAAGGTTTTGTATAAGTAATATAATGTTTCATTTATAATATTAAAACTATGTACAATTAAGTCAAAATTTGATTTTTTGGTATAGAACTTTATACAATTAATGCAATATTTGATTTTCGAATTACCAAAAAAATATTTAATTTTTTGTATCAACGTTAATTATTAATACTGATATAATTACGCAGAGGAACTACATGAATGTACCATATTTTGCAATACTTTGCAGCACTTTAGACATAGAATGTTATTTAACCATTTTTTTTGCCAACAAAAAGTGACCAATAACATACAACATATAAATTACCTAGGGAAAAATATTTTTTCTCGATGGATATGGCTGGACGTCGTTGAAATAATATAGACAAGACAATTAACAAAATTTGAGAAAGATTAGAGGTGATTTGAACTGGTTTAGAGTCAAAGTTTGTTATTAAAATCGAGTTTAAAAGTTTCTTTGTGACACATGTATCGCACACATAACCATACATGGATATACATAGATATATATGGGATACATAATGGATGCATATGGGATACATGGAAGATACATAGTTATATATGCAGAAACTTCATCTTCTTCCTTTAAACTATCTCTACCAAATCGTCCCAAATTTGAGATTTCTGACCTTCTTAATATTTTTAGTATAATCCGACAATACTCAATCAAAACAAAGCACAATTATAAATTTTCAAACATTTTAACTCAAGCTCAAAGTTTCTTCGCTCATTTTCTTCACTTTCAAGCAACCGGCAATATTTTATGCAAGAAATTATCTATAGACGAGCTTCTAATAGCGCACTTTCTAATGGCACAAAGTCATGAAGATTGAGGAGCTTCTCAACTAAGAGATGCGTTGTAACGATCCGATCGTTAATTTTAAGAGTTGTAGTCCCGTTCCCTCATTTACTATTTATTTTATGCTTTATAGTTGTTATGTGACTTGTCGGGGTAGTTGGTTCGGGTTCGGAAAGGTTTCAGAATGAATTGAGACACTTAGCCTTAAGGTTGAGAGCTTAAGTTGAAATGGTTGACAGGATGTTGACTTATGTGTAAACGACTCCGGAATGGAGTTTTAATGGTTCCATTAGCTCCGTCGGGTGATTTTGGACTTAGGAGTGTGTTCGGATTGTGATTTGAAGGTTCGTAGTTGAATTAGACTTGAAATGACGAAAGTTGAAAATTTGAAAGTTTGATCGAGAGTGGACTTTATGGTTACCGGGCTCGGAATGGGGTTCCGGGAGTTGGAGTAGGTCTGTGGTGTCATTTGTGACTTGTATGCAAAATTTGAGGTCAATCGGATATTTGATAGGTTTCGACATCGAATGTAGAAGTTAGAAGTTCAAAAGTTCATTAGGCTTGAATTGATGCGCGATTCGAGGATTTAACATTGTTTGATGTGATTTGAAGGCTCGACTAAGTTTGTATGATGTTTTGGGACTTGTTAGTTTATTTAGTTGAGGTCCCGGGGGCCTGGGGTGAGTTTGAGATTGTTAACGGATTGGAATTTGGACTTGAAATATGGCTGAAGCTACAGATTTTTGGTGTCTGGTTTCCATCTTCGCGTTCGCGATGGGAGTCCTATGTTCGCGAAGGGTGTCTGGAGGCAGGTGAAGATTTGTTCTTCACGTTCGCGAAGGGGGAGCTGCGTTTATGAAGGTCTGGGTAGGTGGTGCATCGGGAACACGAGAAGGGGGTCGCGTTCGCAAAGAGGAGAGGAGGCAGCTGGGACCCCACGCGTTTGGTCTACGCACGTAATGGGGATCGCGTTCGCGAAGCTTGGGGTCAGTTAGGCATCGCGTTCGCAGGTGGAGCCTCTCGTTCGCCTAGAAGGCTTTTGGGCAGCAGATTGATTTGTGCTACGCGAACGCGAGAAGAGGGTCACCTGGGCAGACTTAAATATTTAAAAAACGAGGGTTTGAGTTCATAACACAAATTTGATTTTGGGAGCTCGGTGGGAGGCAATTCTTGGAGAGATTTTTAAGTGGGTGATTGGGGTAAGTGATTCTTACTTAATTTTGGTTAAATTCCATATTTATGTCTTTGATTTCATCATTAAATTAGTGAGTTGGGGTAAAAAATTGGGGGGAAATGGAGGAAAGTGTTCTTAGGCCAAATTTTGAGGTTTTGATCGAGATTTTGGTATCGGATTTGAGTAATTTTGGTATGGGTGGACTCGTGGTTGAATGAGTCTTCAGATTTTGTGACTTTTACCGGATTTCGAGATGTGGGCCCGGGGGGGTGACTTTTTGAATTTTAATTAAGAACTAAGTATTTTTATATGGAATTGATTCCTATAGCTTGAATTGATCATATAGAATTGTTTGTGGCTAGATTCGAGCCATTCAGGGGCCGTTTCGCGAGGCAAGGGCATGTTGGAGTAGAGATTTGCACGGTTTGAGGTAAGTAACACTTCTAAACTTGGTTTCGAGGGTATGAAACCCCGAATTACATGTTATGCGATTGATGTTGAGGTGACGCGCATGCTAGGTGACGGTCATGTGGGCGTGCACCGTAACTGTGAATTATTCGATTTCACATAATTTTGTAGCTTCCTTAACAGAACACTTTTACCGTACTCCATGTGTTAGAGCACTTGAGCTGTAATTTATGCTAGAAATCATATTTAGGCTATATGCCGGTACTGTTGGGACCCACAGTGGTCGTTCCTTGCTGTTGAGTTATTTGTTTAATTGCAGTCATATACTCAGTCGTATTCATCATTCATATCATATCTCAGTCTCTGTTACTGTACATTGTTACATCTCATATTATTGATTAAGGCTGCTTAGTATGAGCGTTGTGAGCCCGAGAGACTGGAGAGATTAATGACTGAGTGAGGCCGAAGGCCTGATTGTGAGTGATAAATTAATGGAATGAGCTGCACGCCACAACATGTGTTTTATTTACTTATGCATGGATTTGGCTTATTATAGCGCTTGGGCTGAAGGAGCCCCTCCGGAGTCTGCACCCCCACAGTGAGCGCAGTGGATATTATACTTAGGATGGAGTTCCCTGGCATGGAGTTGCCCTATATATTCACATTTGGGATGGAGTTCTCCACGCATGGAGTTGCCCTATACATTTATACTTGGGATGGAGTTCCCTGGGCTGAACCTTCCCCATATTGTACTGAGTGATTGAGTACTCTAAGAGTGTGAGTACGCGAGGCTTTAATTGTAGTGTATCACATACAACATGCACACTGGCATGTAGGTATAGAAATGTCATATCCCTCATATCGTTCGGAGTTGATCTATTTCACTTGTATTGAGCGTTTACTTGATGAACTTGAAAACATACCTACATTTCTGTACTGTTATTTCTATATTGAACTGTACCTGCTGAGTTCGTCACTACTTTCAGTCCAAAGATTAGATTTATTACTTATTGAGTTGATTGTACTCACGCTACACCCTGCACCTCATGTGTAGATCCAGGTATTTCCGATCATGGCGGTTGCTGAGTTGCGGAGTCTGGACCCCGGTTTTGGGAGAGATTATGTATTGAGTTATGACTTCCTATCCTTCTTTTAAAAGATTTTCCTTTAATTAAACTGTTGTTCGTATCTTTCAACGATTTAGAGTGTTGGAAATGTCTTAATAGTCGGCTTGCCTAGTACTATGATAGGCGCCATCACAACGGGTTAGTTTTGGGTGGTGACAAGTTAGTATCAGAGTCTAGGTTACATAGGTCTCATGAGTCATGAGCAGGTTTAGCAGAGTCTTACGGATCGGTATGGAGATGTCTGTACTTATCTTCGAGAGGCTGCCGAACCCTTAGGAAACT